ATGACAAAAAAACTATGGAGGTGCAAACATAACGGCTATTCGTAACTGGTTGAAAGTACAAGGAGTAACTCACCTTTGCTGCTGGACCGCGCGCATCATTTTGTCCTGCCTTCCTCCTGAAAAAGTAACTTCAGTAGATATTTAAAAGAGCAATGCTAAACGACTACAACGGACTGCTACCATTAGCGAAAAACGGGACCGGCGCTACACAAAAGGACTCCTAATAAATATAATATCAGACCTAAAGGTACTATACCACCAGATCTAAAGAAGCGCAAACAGCGAACGAGGTTAGAAAACCAACAAACATTCGTAAACAGGGAGAAATGAAAGGAACGGACTGTGAAGCGGATGTGCGCATCGGGTAGTTGCCAACAAGCACCATTGTGTCCGGTTCGGTCTGTTGTGTGTTCGCTGAAGAAAGGGAATCTCGCGGGTGATGGAGAGGGTTACTCATCTACTCGAAAAACAAAAGCGGTCCCAAGATTCGCTACCAGTGCTACGATTGTGTTTACATTACTTGTGAAGAAGCTTTTGAATAAACATTTACAGTCCATGTTTGCACTTGATTCCTATAGTATGTGCGGATGAAAATGTGATAGAAGCAAGTAATAATTACCCAATAAACACAACATATTTCTCGAGTGCTACAGTCAGGGTGAAATATGGAGCTTCTCAGATAGGAGCCCTCTCTGCCGTCCTTTACCTACCCTTCTACCCTCGTTCCCTCTAACCTGCTATATTTCATCAAAAAAGCTATCACCCACTAGGTGGGGCGGAGGGGAGAAGTGCGAACCAGGGGAACAAAATTAGTCGATTTTTGAAAATCCCTCAAAACCTGCACTTGCTGCATGGAAACAAGAGCTCGTCATCACTGGATTCCTCACGATGACCTAGGGCGCTTATGGCCTTCGGAGAAGGGGTAGCATCTAAAACAGAGCCGGCAGTAGTGGCTATGACCAAGTAAGCCAAACCGAGGGGATAAACGCCAGAGAGGTACATAAACGCCTTGAATAATCCCTCGAATTCCTTCCCCTCCCTACTAAGGCTTAGTCCCAAGTACTGTAATTGGCTCATTAACTTTAATGCTCCCCACGACATGAGCGCCACCGCCTACAAAACGCTTAGAAATCTTCGGTGTGCTTTCTTAAAAGATGCTAGTTATAGCAATTTTGTGGTGAACTCCATGATTCAACGCGAAATTTCCCATAAGCGAATTAAAGCCGTCTTGGCCAATGAGGCCTTCCCCTCTGGGATCAATTAACTGGAGTTAGACTTGTCTGGAAAAACAGCAACAGTAACTTTGCAGCGGCTAGCCCGCAGGTAATTGCGTGGAAGTCGCTTTCAAAATGCTACCAGGATTCTGAATGGAGTAAAATGCATAGCACATCCCGAAGAGAAATTTGTGAACGCTGAATTCTTTATTGCTCCATGCTATACGAACTGTATGCTGTGTCTCTATCTTGTAGTGAATTTCGGCCTTCTATTAGGTACCGGATATCTTAGTGTCGTTTTTTTCTGAGTTCAGGAAGTTTCGGGGCCGATTACCATGGAAAATCAATATCTCAGAAGTTCTTTTTGCTCATTAATACTGCGAAATATGTTGCTTATTGTTTTCTATTGTTGGTTCACAATTTAACTTTCCCCAATTTTTATACTTTTTTGAAAATTCCTGGGTTCATTGTGCAAATTCGTGTGTGTACCAAATGCCATCAAAGTCGGGCTGGGAGCTACAGATCCGCCAACCAAACTAACATTGCTTTTGTTAGAGGAATACTACCGTTTGGAATGCTCACCGGTTCTCCTCAGTTTTCTTAAAAGACAGTGAAGTTTTTGAAAGGATGCCTGCAATCGTCTTCAAAAAGATGGCCCTAGTTAAGCCAGCTGAGAAGGGGCTGCACCAGACTTGTGCTGAAATGGTAGGATACTTTCACTGTGGAATGATGATGCGCAAACATTCCTATGAATTTGATTCCGCAAGATATTCCGTCAGATGTGCAGCCCTTCTCAGCTGGCCTCACTAGGGCCATTCTTTTTGAATACGATTGCAACCATCCATTTCAAAACTTACTGTCTTTTAAGATGAAATGTGCTCCCCTGCCTCTTCACCGCGGCGTTTCAAAACGAGGGCGCGTTTTTGACCCTATGTTGCAAAAAAGTCTCCGTAAAAAACTGCCCACTTGGGCTGATAAGTTCTAATTTTTCTGTCGTGCAATGCAGACCCTACGCTAACCAGCTGTATACTTACTTTGTCCAGGCCTTACTTTTTAGCAAGTAAGAGGGATGATTTATCAGAGGATGTCAAAACCGACCTGCCTCTCCTTTTTAACTCAAAAAATTCCGAGCTTGGATCGTGCAAGGTTCCACTCAAACTGTTAGTACTCAAATGTATGATATTTTCTGCCTCGGAAAACTTACTGGTGACTTTGTGACTTAAAGGAAGTCTTCCACGGAAAATCATGATTCTATCTCACCCATAAATCACTGGCTTGAGACCCATCATTCACGATAAGAACGAAAAGAACAAAAATTGCATTTGTTTTGGTAAACAATTCGAAAAACCCGAAGGACTGCTACGCGTTCAAATTCCCGCCGTACATCTGTCACAAATGTTGGCGAACAGTTCGATTCCATTTGGTTCCCGGAATGCCTTTTTCGTGTTCTTTACAGCCGGTCTTCATAAGCAGTAAAAATGATTCAAAAGAAGGCTGAGGATCTCGGCAACGTGGCCAGCAGGGCGGCGTTGGGTGGTCGCTTGTACGGGTGGTTAGAAATTAGATACCGATAACTTCCGCTACGGTCATACAAGTTTTCCAGTTCTTCGATGTGCAAGTTTATGGTGCAAAAAGCATGCGCGAGCATTCAATGCCTGTACCATTTGCTTTGTGAAGTTCTGATGTGTGGCACATGTGAAATGGTATCGAGGAAAGCCAAGTCGAAGAATATGAAGAATATCAAAGGTGGAGTTCACCACTGGAAGGAAGTGGGAGGTGGTCAGTGGTACCGGAATGAAGAAAAAACCATGTGAAACGGCGCAGAACCTGAGAAATGAAAACTTTTCCGCCCGTTGTTTCCGCACTGATGCGACTCTCATCGATGCTGAGATGCTCTCTGTTCAATGGCTAGAGACCTGCGGCGAGTGGTTAGCCAGTCGGTGGGCGTACCGCGCCGACAGCGCCGCGGGGAGGGCCATGCTAGATCGCCAGGGGCATATCCTTCGCTGCGAATTGCGTGTCAATCCACACCCCGTACGGGGTTCGCCTGTATTTCCACTAGGTAAGCTCCTGCTTCTCCAACCTTCGCCTTATCAAGTAATCCTTCAAATTCGCAGTTATCTTGTTCACCTAGCTCTGAAATGGGTGAAAAGAGCGCTAAGGTCTTTCCAAGACCGCTTCGACTGCTTCAATTTTTCATCACTTGCAACAGGTCCACGCGCTCTCATTCATTTGCTACTACCCAGGGTTTATCGGTCGAGGAAATCCTTGACAATGGGGAGGGGGTGTATTTGTCAGGGTGGGTCATGGGAGGTCGTACTCGTGAGAGATTCATTAGAGGTTATGGCATAATCCTATATATGTTCACCTGTATCACCTGTCGTCCCGTTGATCATCGAATTGCTCGAGCGGGCGCCAGCAACGTCTCCATTCGTCCCTGTCGCGTGCAAGAGTTGTCCAGTGGACCCTCCTCGCTCGAGGGACACGATGTCCTTCATTCCTTTCGTTCAGAGCTTTCGTGAAGAAGTCTGACCATCGGGCCGGCGGTCGTCCAGGTGTTCGTTTGACGTCCCGAGGGATCCAGTCGGTAACCGCTCTGGTCCAACGGTCATCGCAAAATCGCATGACGTGTCCGGCCCACCTTATCTTCGATTCCTTGGCGAAAACGGCAGCGTCCCTGATCTTCGATCGTTGGCGTAGTTCGGCACTCCGGATTCCCCTCTGCACTTGCGTGTATAGGGTTACTCCTAGCATCGTCCTCTCGACAGCGCGTTGGATAACGCTGACCGCATGCTCGTCCTGCCTGCGCAGAGTCCAAGTCTCTGAGGCGTAGGTTAGGGCAGGAAGGACAGCGGAATCGAAGAGGTGGGCACGGAGCCGGATGTTCTTCGTCTTCTTCACTACTCCCTCGATGTTCTTATACGCTCCCCAAGCCGCTCGTTTCCTCCTGCTCAGCTCTGGAGCTAGATCGTTCATCATATTGATTTCCCGACCTAGGTACACGTAGCTGGAGCATTCGGTGATGTTCGTTCCGTTGAGCGTGAATGGGGCATCAGGAACCAATCCGTTTCTCATAAACATCGTCTTCGTTAGGTTCAGCTGTAGACCGACCTTACCACAGGCGCAGTCGAAATCAGCCAGCATTCGCTCCGCTTGCTCGATGTTCGGCGTTATAAGAACGATGTCGTCAGCAAATATTGTTTAGAAGTTATGTTTCTGAATCTTTCTTCTGGAAAGGTTTCTTTGTTATTCAGCTTCAGAGAATAAGGAAAAGCAGTCAGGTTGAAATTTTCAGTGCAAGATTTTTGTCGACAACGGCGGTGCTGTGTGAGGGAAGAGAATTAGACCTTAGTGATCCAAAGCAGCTTGCCCTGCACAAGCTCTATCGAAAGAACGGCTCACACCTCTAAAAGAGTGTCGGAATCTGTTGAAAAACACCTGGTTTAAATAAGGTTGGAAGTAGGGTTTTCGTCCACGATCACAGGATATATGCGAGCTGCCACGGCGCAGGGGTCGGGTGAGTCGGGGTGAAAACATGATAACTCAACTTTGTATGTCATTAAGAACGATCCATGGAATATCGCTTTTTTGTTGCGTGCTAGCCATAAGTTTTTCAACCTCTTTTTGGTATACCGAGGTCCGCTCAGGAAAAATAAACCATAGTTTTGTGTTCCACGCATGTGCCCCCAAATCATGCGGAAGACGATTTTTAACACGTTGACGACGCGCGCGTTTCGGCTTTTTTGGCCGCGTGGGACAGGAGCGATTTTCGAGCGCGGCCGCTTCACTTACACACGCTTCACATATATCTGTATATTTTGGGTGATAACTATACAAAACACGAATGACACCCAACCATTACAGCAATATCATGCGTAGAACTTAATCGGGGATATAGAGGTGGAAGCCCGACCAAAAGAACGTGTAATAGTCATCAAAAAGCAAATTTTACTTGTTTTGTCTATAATGAACGTCAAAGCATTTTTTACGTGGCCACTCCAGGAAAAACATCTATTTTTCTATCTATATGGGTTTATATTTACTTTACATGGTCATGATAACAATGACGAAAACGAGGAATGAACGGAGCTGCCAATCTCGGTGAAGCGGTCAACAGAATCGTCCGTTCGCCACGCCGCCGCGTGCGGCCACCTGCGCGGTGTCGCGACGTGGCAGTTTACCGATGAGCGCTGGATCTTTGAATTATGACGACCAGATTAATGAATTTATTGCAGTCCACAATTACCTATGTGGAGCGCGAAAAAGATGCAAGGGAATTGAAACTATCGACGTTTATTGAAGTTGAATTTTGAAAGGACGAATTTGCTTGGCGTCCCTTCAATATTCAAATTTTATGACGAGTACAGAAACTCGTCCTACTGCAGTTGCGAAGTCGCGGCCACGATCACTAGCTCGAGGATCCGGACGATCCTGTTGACATGCACCCCCAATTTTATAGCGCTTGGAAATCTCTGCTAAACTGAAGCATATTTGACCATACGGCGAACGAGGTCATTGAGAGATATGTAATAGTGTGATCCATAGAATGAGTACAAACAATTTGGGAATAAGTCGCGCAAGCGCTAGAAAAAGGGATGATAAGGGTGAGACGCGTTACCGCGTCACAATGTCCAACGAGGTGCGCAAAGTGGGACGCGTTACCGCGTCACAATGTCGTCAATGTGTTAAAAGCAGGGTATGTAGTCGATTCACTACTAAAGGCACATGTGTGAATGAATAGATGAATATTATTTAGGTCCTGAGTAGACCACTGATAACCTTCGGAGTAGCCCCTGCTTGACCATGGTTAGGCCTTACTGGAATATCTACAGCTTTAATCATGGAATTTGCTTTATAGGGTATGGCATTTTCGTTGTATGAGCGGCAATACCTCGGTATACATGGGCTTCTTCCTCCTGCCTTCATGACTGCTGAACAACAGGCGTACCGCACCATGTCAAAACTACGAGAACAGCCCAATGATCTCGCAAGGTCGGGTTTTTGATCCACTTTTTTCTTTTTGTCATTTCTCTTTTATTAAACTTTTCTTTCAGATATATTCAATTGGATAGTCTTCAAGACCGTAATGAGAAAATTGTTTTATCGAGTTT